TGTGTGTGTGTGTGTTGGGGAGGGACAGGCGGGGGGAGTTGGGACACCTCACTGCCGATACAGAAGAGGAGCGATATGAAGGCTTCAGGTGAAATAAATGTGTTTGACTGTGGTTTAATGACACAGGACGACGTGCTGCTGAGGTTTTCTGATGGTTTTTACGCGTCATTGGTTGTTTTGTTTCTTCGGAAAGAGATAAAACAGATGGAGGATGTTGTCTCTGCCAGCAGCGACGGCTTTTTTTTTTTTTTTTTTGTCGCGGAAGATCTGCAACTAAACAGTTTTGATTGAAATAATAAACCCAAGAGCAGGTTTTAAACCATTGCTGAAGTATTGTCAGTCTGTTTTTAAATCACTGCAGTGTTTCTGCCTCTCGGTTTGTTTTTAAAGTGGGTTAAACTGTGTCTGTTCGTCCTCCGGCGGCCCCTCGCTGAAGTCCCCGATCAGATTACACAGTGGAACAACAACTGTAAAACCTGTCATCTCGTCAGCTACATTTTCTTCAAACGATGCATTTTTTTTCTTCTTTCGCAGACAGAAGCGTGTGTGTAGGCTACATCCGAGACCGGTAGTGGTTTGAGGTGATCCACTTGCAAGACGGCTGTTCCCACCAACCTTTCCAGTCGCATTGTTATGACCTGATGCTGTGCAGTCTGATGACCCAGCTGTGTGTCGGGGCTGGATTATTAAATGTGTGAGCTTATGTGACAACAATCATTTAGTCTTCTCCTGTTATTTATTCTGAATATAAAGTCACCTCTGTCCTGGAAACGATTCATCACTTTGTATAAATGAGGGTTCAGTTTATCACCTATTGGCGAGAAGTGACTGCAAGCAATAGTGATGCAGTCTTATTTTTCCATTTTAAAATAGACTGGTGGATGTTAACAAGGGAAAGTCGTCCTGTGGAAGTTTCCTGGAGCTCCTGTGTCTCCACGGGCGTCTTTCATTTTGCAGTGGAGACGCAGACAAACACTGCAGCGGCTGCAGGCACTGAGCTCGTTGTACTGTGGGCAGCCAGCAGGGAGCTGCTGACCCTGCACATTATGGTGACGACCACTGAAGCCCTGGCAGCTCCCGTCGCTCTGCTTGTGCCCATAATGCAGCTGGTTTGGGTCACTTACTCATATGGATGTATTGAGCTGTGGTTTTCACTCAGGAGTTGAGATGGATTTAGCTCTTTTGAAGCTCCGCTCTCGGTATCTTTTTCCTTTAACACAAGCCCTGTATATTTCTTCTAACAAACTCATTGTGTTATTTAAATGTCACTGCGTGCTGGGAACAGACTGTAAAATTAAACCACACATGTCTGTAGGCCAGAAGCGTAAAATGCAATTTAGAGGAAGCGTGTTTCATACACTGAATTATTTTTTACCTGAAGTAAACCTCGAGGCTCACCTGAACTGACTCAGTGGCAGCGAGGCTCAAACCTGCCGACAGAAGGGCCGTTTTCTTTTCATATAGAGGAAATGGGATTGGAGAGTTTAGAGGGTTATTTAAAGTTTCCACAAATTAAAAACGAGTAAAGATCTTCACAGTGCAGCAAAGGAGTTTTTCTGTTGTTTTCTCTTCAGCTTGAAGGTGTTTAGAGATTTCTTCCATGTGAGCTTTTCTTTGAAGAGAATTGGTTAAACGGGGCGTATCCCACCGTGGACCTGTAACGGCCTCATCTTTATTTGTGGGCGGTGAAAAGAAGTTATCTTATGATAGTTGTCGGTCATCTGATGCTCTCGAGCAATTTAACAAGTTTGACGTGGTTTAGAGAGCAGAGGTGTGTGTGTGTGTTGAGCTCTGTCTGAGTGTTAGGAGTTGTAGTTTGTGACGGGGTACTTCACTACTCTCGTCCCTTGAGGCAGTGTTAACACAGACCTCCTCCTCCCGACAGAACTCACCTCTGGTGTGTGTGTGTTTGTGTGTGTTTGTCACTGACACATGTAATGAGCTCTGTGAGCAGTGTGTCTTTCATTACTACATTCAGGGCGGTGAAACTCTGAAGTACACTATTCCTGGTCTCCAGCTCTGTGCTGGAGCAACAAGCCTGTCATTTCAGTGTTGTCCTGGGACAGTTGTGCTGTGATTACCCTTCACTCCATCTACGTGTGTGTGTGTGTGTGTACCTGTTTGATGGATCTTTCCAGGCAGAGTTTCATGTGACTTTCTCCCCGTGGGTGCGTATACCTCGAGTCATCCCACATACGGCAGCCAAGATACCATCTGATGACTGTCACTCATTAGTCATCTGGTTTCAGTTGTGTGGCTCGAGCTTCAAAGGAGCCTCTCGCTCACATTGACTGCCTGATCTCTAGGAACTGACTGCAATGAGTTTGTTGTTACCGGTCAGTCTGACTTTAGGGGGAGGCTGCCAGTTGTGTGTCTCCATTGGAGACCAGACCATCAAAAAACTACGATGGGCTCAGTTTCCACAGCCAGATGTGAAGACCCACAGTTAGTTTCCACCAGTGTGAATGATAAATGGCTCCACTGTGCGCTTTGATTGTGTGTTTGATGTGTCTGCAGACTTGTATGGACACATGGCTCCCATTAGGGCAGGGCTGGGTTATGTGAGGGCACCAGAGAGGATGGTGTGTGAACAGGGAGGCTGAGTTTGTGTGCTTGTGGTTAGAAACAGCAGTCCTGGAGCCTGACGACCAAGATTGTGTTTTAATGACACAGCTGAGCTGAGCTGCTGTGGGTGTGAGAGGATGGAGGTAATCCAGAGCAGTAGTTTAGTTATCCGTCCGTGTATTTGCATACTGGCAGCCGTTGAACTCCACAGACTCCTACACTCACTGCCACTAAAGACAGACGCTTTTCTTCCTTTATTCTTCTTCTACCACTATATGTCTGACTGTTACTGTGTATTTCTGTGTCCACTTCTCTCTGTACGTCATTTAGACTCTTTTATCACTTTCATTGGTTTCAATTATATTATTATTTTGGACAACTTTAAATATCGAGCATGTTGTTTCCTTCAGACCACACTTAAGTTACAACAGTAACTTAAGTGTCTGCTCAGAGTCTGAATGTAACACGTTTACTTTACATGGTGAGAAATTTAAAAACAAACACATGAAAGAGGCTGTTAGACTTCAGACACAAAATAAAGTCTTACTCACATTTATCTGTCTGGTGCATGCTCAGTTTTTAAAAAGTTAATTTCCTCCGCTGATGAGCACAAAAGAGAAAATCCCCCAAAAGATATTTTTAGGTTTTTACTTAGTTAGTATTAGAAGTATTAGTTCACAGCTGTTTAACATAAGGTCGGAGTGAGTGAGTGAGTCCGTTCCCTTTATAGCTGCACAGTACTGCACTGCTATAGTCAAAAACACAATGCTGGTGTTTGAGCAGCTTATTCTTTATTATTATATATGTACACTTTATTCCAAATGTGCATCGTCCTAATGGTGCAGTACAAATGTGTCCAATAAAGCTCTGCTAACTGAAGGCTTTAAAGAATGGTTTATATCGTCGTACATACTGCACAGACTGTCAGCAGCTCTCAGTGTTGGTGAAGTGTTGGTGAAGTGTTGGTGGGGTATGAATCGTTTTGTGACTCTTTTTGTGCCGTAGCTTTGCAGTGTGCCTGTATAGGATTAAAGCGCGTCCAGACTGGTTTACCACGAAGCCTTTGTTCTCTGTTTCCTGTAGAATCCGTCGAGGAATTACTACAGATGTACTTTTCAAAGGGTTTCTGATTCTATGGATACGTGGCCCCACTTTCTGTGTCTAATTTTAGCCGTTTTTCTATTTCCTGCTTTTGTGCGTTACTGTCATAACATTTATCTTTGGGTATGAATTGAAAATACCTGTTTGAATTTGAGTTTTCCTGAATTAATCCCCCTCGCTCGCTCTGCCTCTCTCCTGCTGCTGTTTACGTTTCCTGCAGAGTGGTTTCAGCTTCAAAGCAGCACAGGAATGTGTTCGCCCTCCTCCACCCAATGCTCCACTTCCCCTGTCCTTCCTCACCTAAATAGCAGCTCGCTGCTGCACTTAATGGTGGCTTTGTGTGTGAGCTGCTGCCGTTTGCACGTCAGGCTTTAACAGAAGAGGAAATCCAAGGGAAGGGAGGAGGCAGGGAAGGAAAGGAGGCGCTGGAAAGTTACTTGTCTGGACTGTTCTGAACCAAAAGTGCGATTTTCTGCCTTTCCATCTGCGGTGATCTTTTGCTTTACAGTATTATGGTTGATGTGTGACAGGAAGGAAAGATGAGTGGAGGAGTGGAATGATTGAAGGTGAGATGCCACTGAGGCAGCGTGAGTGACTTTGTTTTATTTTTATTTTTCCAGATCAGGAAGCTGTGTCGGCCGCGGTTTGAGAAAGGAACATGGCTTCCCAGGGTGAGTTAGTAGTTTTCAGCTCCACACTCATCTGTCTGCTCACACCCACTCACTGAATAGTACTCCAAGTGTTAAACTTTGCAGCAGTCCTCCTCCTGGTGCAGATTTATGTTCTCATCAGAGCAAAGTGAATTAGTTATTGATTTCAATTTGAAACTTGGAGCACATGTGAAATCAAACTTTATGCTCCAAGAGACCTTTACTGCTAAACCGCACATCTCGTTAAAGTATGAGAATATTGGGGAAACGATGACATGAGGAGCAGGTTAGAAATCCTTTCACTGCAACTGTTGTTGAGGCAGCTCGTACTCCGTGCCTCTAACAGTTGGAGAAATGTTCTCGTATTGAAAGACTTGTGTAAAGACGTCCTTCTCTTTCTCCACATTATTTTAATGTGACAGAAGAATTTAAGTACATGTTTAAATTACACATGTTGATCTCCTCTTATACTGTGGTTGTAGTCACATGTTTTCTTTCTTTCCTAACATTTTGTCTCTTTCCAGCTGATCTGATGGAGTTGGACATGGCCATGGAGCCAGACCGTAAGGCGGCAGTCAGCCACTGGCAGCAGCAGTCTTACCTGGATTCAGGCATCCACTCAGGGGCCACCACAACTGCTCCCTCCCTCAGTGGGAAAGGCAACCCTGAGGAAGATGATGTCGACAACCAGGTCATGTATGAGTGGGAGCAGGGCTTCAACCAGAACTTCTCCCAGGAACAAGTACAAGGTAGGTAGATCTGTTTGCTGCACATACAGCCGTGGGCTTGTATGGCCCAAATAGCAGCTTGAAGCCCAGTATAACAGAACAACTGTTCCTCTGTCTCTCCCAGACATAGATGGCCAGTATGCCATGACGCGTGCACAGAGGGTGCGTGCAGCAATGTTCCCAGAGACTCTTGAGGAGGGCATGCAGATCCCTTCCACACAGTATGACGCAGCAAACCCCACCAACGTTCAGAGGCTGGCAGAGCCTTCGCAAATGCTCAAACATGCTGTGGTCAACCTGATCAACTACCAAGATGACGCTGAGCTGGCAACCAGAGCCATACCAGAACTCACCAAACTACTCAACGATGAGGACCAGGTATGTGCCCATGAAACCTGTCCTACACGGTTTTGTTTTTCACTACGGTCATCCCCTAACATTTGTCTCTGTCTCGTCCAGGTTGTAGTAAACAAAGCAGCGGTGATGGTCCACCAGCTTTCCAAGAAAGAGGCTTCTCGCCACGCCATCATGCGCTCCCCTCAAATGGTGTCTGCTATCGTCAGGACCATGCAGAACACAAATGATGTGGAGACCGCTCGCTGCACCGCAGGAACACTCCACAACCTGTCCCATCACAGAGAGGGCCTACTGGCTATCTTCAAGTCTGGAGGAATCCCAGCTCTAGTTAAAATGCTTGGGTATGTGGGGAAAGGATGAAGGAATGCTTGATTTCTGTTTGTTCAATCACTAATGGAGAAAGGTTTAGACTTATTTGGGTCTAAGTGGCTGTTAATTCATCAAAAGCAGAAGATGTGCAGAGGAAAGCCTTGTTAGGGAACCCAGTCTAATACAGATCCAGTTGTGGTTATTTCCCAGTGGGACGGTAATCTAATAAGCCTTTGTTTGTTCTGCAGTTCACCGGTGGACTCTGTGCTGTTCTATGCCATTACCACCCTCCACAACCTCCTCCTGCACCAGGAAGGAGCCAAGATGGCTGTCCGTTTAGCTGGGGGTCTACAGAAAATGGTGGCTCTGCTCAACAAGACCAATGTCAAGTTTCTGGCAATCACCACGGACTGTCTCCAGATACTGGCCTATGGAAACCAGGAAAGCAAGGTGTGTGTGTGTGTGTGGAAAGTAATGCTGTTAAAACAGTCAATTGGTCTGTGTTTGACGCTTTTTTGTAAAGTTACTCGTCGTAAGAACATTAAAACCCCTAACATTGTTGTGTGTTCTCTCCTTGTGTAGTTGATCATCTTGGCCAGTGGCGGCCCCCAGGCGTTGGTCAACATCATGAGGACTTACACCTACGAGAAGCTGTTGTGGACCACAAGCCGTGTTCTCAAAGTTCTGTCAGTCTGCTCCAGTAACAAGCCTGCTATTGTAGAAGCTGGTATGTTTGGTCTCCTAAACATGAGTCATTTGAAATGTATTGTGATTTTTCACACACTATGTAAACAACACAATCTTTGTCCTTGTGTCCAGGAGGCATGCAGGCTCTGGGGCTCCACCTGACAGACCCCAGCCAGAGACTGGTCCAGAACTGTCTCTGGACTCTCAGGAACTTATCAGATGCTGCCACCAAACAGGTGATGAGACAGTGAAAGGCAGTGACAGTAATTACAGACGACGTCCACCATGCTCTTGATTCTGCGTACCCGTCCTTCCTTAAATGCCAACTTCACATTGTCTTTCTCTCTAGGAGGGAATGGAGGGTCTGCTAGGAACTCTGGTCCAGCTGCTCGGCAGTGACGACATTAATGTGGTGACTTGTGCTGCTGGCATCTTGTCTAACCTGACTTGTAACAACTACAAGAACAAGATGATGGTCTGCCAGGTGAGTGCACACATTTAATTTGTTTGAATGAAGATCTGATCTGTCTTTGTAAAACGTAATATGATCTACCCAGTAAAGCTGGAACTCTAACGTGTCTGTTATCTGTTCCTCTGTAGGTTGGAGGTATTGAGGCGTTGGTTCGCACAGTGCTTCGGGCCGGAGACAGAGAAGACATCACAGAACCAGCTATTTGTGCCCTGCGTCACCTCACATCTCGACACCAGGACGCCGAGATGGCACAGAATGCCGTCAGACTGCACTACGGCCTGCCCGTGGTCGTCAAATTACTGCATCCGCCATCACACTGGCCACTCATTAAGGTACTTACACACACTCACACACGGACTTGCCAGCAGCAGTCAGCCACATAGGCAGTGCTGAAAGGCAATTTACATTTGACCGCACCTTGAATCTAAAACAATGGCCCAAGAAAAAATGTCTTAACAATGCATTTTAAAATGACTCTCTGATTCTTGGTCACTCTAGTGCTTGATGGGTACCTAAAGTTGAAAACGGGCTTAATTGACCTGTGAATTGTTTGTCCATCAGGCTACAGTTGGTCTGATCCGTAACCTGGCTCTGTGCCCTGCAAACCACGCTCCACTGAGGGAGCAGGGGGCCATCCCCAGACTGGTCCAGCTGCTGGTCAGAGCACACCAAGACACACAGAGACGCACCAGCATGGGAGGCACACAGCAGCAGTTTGTGGTGAGCACACGCACGCACACACACACACACGCACACACGCACACGCACACGCACACACATTTCCCCAACGACACCAGCATAATGGCCACTTTGACATCATCAGGTTATCAGATCATAAATTATTAAATTCTATATAATCAATATATTATGGTTCTTGTCATTATTATCAAGTCCTGAAGGGGTCCTTACCATTTAAACTCCGCTAATTGAAGTCATATTGTTTTGTCATTAGGAGGGAGTCCGTATGGAAGAGATTGTGGAGGGCTGCACAGGAGCGCTTCACATCCTGGCCAGAGACGTCCACAACAGAATAGTCATCAGAGGACTCAACACCATTCCACTGTTTGTACAGGTAAAACAAAACAAAACCTCTTCAGCTCAGTTTCACCCTGTGCTTGTTATGTTGCAATCAACACATCATTTGAGTAAATGTAATTAAAATGTCATTTTGAAATTGAGAAAATGTTTCTAAGCCTCCCATCTGTGTTTGTTTGTGCAGCTGTTGTATTCTCCTATTGAGAACATCCAGCGTGTAGCAGCAGGCGTCCTGTGTGAGCTGGCTCAGGATAAAGAGGCTGCTGAGGCTATTGAGGCTGAGGGAGCCACCGCCCCACTTACAGAGCTATTGCACAGCCGCAACGAGGGAGTTGGTACGTACTGCCATCATTTACATCATGGCTCGTGTGTAGAGGTCCAGTTCAACTGAGAATAAGTGCTTATGTATGAAACAGTTTTGTTCTGGGTGTAATTGATGCAGACAGTAATCATGGTAATACCTGGCCTCTTAATTGTCTCCTCTGTGAAAGCTGTAGCATTGTGTTATTTGTCTTCCCTCAGCCACCTACGCTGCAGCAGTCTTGTTCCGTATGTCCGAGGACAAACCCCAAGACTACAAGAAACGTCTCTCTGTAGAACTCACCAGCTCACTCTTCAGGACAGAACCAATGGCCTGGAACGAGGTATGAAGCCCTCAGTCAGCTTTGTTATTTCTAATCTGATATTTGTACACAAAACAAAAACTGAAGTCAATTCCAAGATGAATGTAAATGAAGGTCTGCATACTGAGGTCATTGAAACTGCCGCCACCCTGCTCATCCTCCTCTGTGTTTCCCTGCAGACCGGAGACCTGGGTTTGGACATTGGAGCTCAGGGAGAGCCTCTGGGCTACAGACAGGAAGGTAAGCCACCGCCTCACCTCTAGCTGGCCGACGGGCCAAGAGAAATACAGGAGGGGTTTACAATACCAGAGCTGTTGGGCCAAATACAAACATTAAACTGGTTTTCTTTCACCAATGGGGCATACAGTCACTGTGTTCTCCATGGACCTCCTCTGGTCCCCTTCGGTCCATACACAACCAAATTTGATCACAATCCAACTTCTGCTCATGACAGGATTGGTTGTCCAAATTCATGATACACAGGCAGCTTGTGACATTGAAGGGCAATAATGCTCTGAAGTTGAGGGTGGAGATTGATTTCACGCCTGCTGTCAGTCAGGATATCAGCGGGCACTAAGAAATACGATACAGCTGCTTTTAGTTATTGTCACAGCGGGCACTAAGAAATACGATACAGCTGCTTTTAGTTATTGTC